GATGGAAAAATCACTGGAGGCGTTATGGTAAGCAATTAAACAATAATTGCTTAGGCAGAAATATAAATAGGACAGATGACATTGGTAGATATCTTTTCAAAAGGCCATCTTGCGTAATGTTGCTTTATCACTTGAGAATCCTGATCTTGGCTCATCTTCAGTGTGTAATTTCAACCCGATGGGCCCTTCTCTTTAAGATCCTCAAGCAACCAGGTGCAGTGAAGACTTATTACATGTCAATATTCATGTACACAGACAGGTATTTAACTTTGTTTGATTTCATATGTGTTTGAAAGTTTCCTGAATGTTTTCCTTTAAAAAGGGAATAAAGTATTTGTAGTCTGCATCAATTTTACTATTTTTTGTTTATCAGTTTATTACTTCATGAATCGTTAACATACAAATGCACTCTAATACTGTTTAGAGTGTGTATTTATCCCACTTAATGTGAATATTCACATATTTTCTAAACAAATATTAATATGTTTAATGATAGGGTAATGTTAAGACCTTAACAAAATCTAGAAATTCTGAATTCTAAGATACAGCTGATGCCAAATGTTTTAAGTAAGAATGGTAGTAGAGCTGTACTGTAAAAGAGGAGATGGTGGCTTCCAGGATAGCAGAGTAAAAACCTCTGAAAATCTCTTCTATAAAAGCAGCCAAAGCTGGGCTCTGTGGCTCAGCCTATAATCCTGCACTTAGGGAGACTGAGATCAGTGGATTGCCTGAGCCCACGGGTTCAAGACCTGTCTGGGCAACTTGGCGAGACCTCATCTCTACAATAAACCAAAAATTAGCCAGGTATGGTATCACATACCTGTAGTACCAGCTACTTGGAAGACTGAGGCGGAAGGATCGCCGGAGCCCAGCGGGTCGAGCCTATGGTGGCCGGGAGCAGCCACTGCACTCCAGTCTGGGCGACAGAGTGAGACTCCAACTCAAAAATAAATAAATAAATAAATAAAAGTAGCAAAACATTGACAAAACTTGTCAAAGTCAGCTTTTTTACAACTCTAGAAATTAAAGGTTTAAAAAAAATTAAAGGTTTTAAATAATCTTAGGGGCCTTTATTTGAGAAAAATGACTGATTCTTAATAAGAACAGTGAAGCCGGGCTCAGTGGCTCAGCCTGTAATCCTGCGCCTTTGGGAGGCTGAGATGAGTGGATTGCCTGAGCCCGCGGGTTCGAGACCTGCCTGGGCAGCGAGACCTCATCTCTACAATAAATCAAAAAATCAGCCGGGCGTGGTAGTGCATGCCTATAATTCTGGCTACTTGGAAGGCTGAGGCGGACGGATCACCGGAGCCCAGCAGGTCGAGGCTGCGGTGGTTGGGAGCGACCACTGCACTCCAGTCTGGGCGACAGAGTGAGACTCCAACTCAAAAAAAAAAAATAAAATAAGAACAGTGAACATAGTGGCATTTCAGCTTGCCCCTTTTCCATCTCCCTTTCCTCAGCTCTGTGTAGTCTTGAAAACTAAGCTTTACAACACAGTTACTATGAAAAAGAGCAGCCTAGTAATCATAGAGGGTATAGAACAGGTTTGCAGCTCCCCCAAAAACACCAGCCCAGAGAATTGTCACCATTTTACCTCTTTGGCAATTTTCTTTTTCTTTTTTGAATTGAAGTCTCACTCTGTCTCCCAGACTGGAGTGCAGCAGCATGCTCTCAGCCACCGCAGCCTCAACCTGCTGGACTCCGGCGATCCTTCCACCTCAGCCTTCCAAGTAGTTGGAACTACAGGCGTGTGCTACCACGCCCAGCTGATTTTTTTGATTTTTTGGAGAGATGAAGTCTCGCCAAGTTGCCCAGGTGGGTCTCGAACCCGTGGACTCAGGCAGTCCACTCGCCTCAGGCTCCCAAAGTGCTGGGATTACAGGCTGAGCCACCGAGCCCAGCCCCGGCAGTTTTCAAGGCTTGTGTTTTTTTTTTAACCTGTCTTCAAGCTTGCTCACTGGGCACAGTCCTGTCCCCATGGTATATGCCAAGAAGACTCATTGTTTGACACCCCAGATCGTCAGGAAAAACTGAGGAATGAGATGTCCATAGGAGGCTTTGAAAAGCTCTGACATTTTTCTGGAAATCTAGAATGAGTTCCATGAGCAGGGCTGTACACATACCCAAGAAAGATGGGAGAAAGCCCTAATTCCTCATCTTTGACTTGAGGCTTTGCTCAAGCGTGAGATGAAGGCTAGTGAGAATTGTTGACTGCCCACAGAAGTGTTGAAAGCATGACCCAACACAGCATCTCAGCAAGTATTGACACACTTATTAGTTCAAGACATTAAAGAAAATCTGTCCAGTCATTAGTAAGAGATTTCATAGTGACACACCAAGGAATACAGTCTTTACACAATTAGTTCATAAAGCCACTTAATGCACATCGACAACAGCAACATGATTCCCTGGGGTGCAGTCAATGGGGTGTGGTGCATACAGAGGATCTGATTTTCAGAGTTGCCACATTATATCACTTAAAATGTTCCTTTTCCACAAAAAATTCTGATACACCAAAAGAAACAGGAGAGTATGGCCCATATACACACCAAAGGCAATCAATCAATAGAAACTATCCCTTAGAAAGTCCAGATGTTTGTCTTCAAATAATCCATATCAGCTACTATAAATATGTTACAAAAGAATGAAAAAAACACCATGTTTAAATAATTAAAAGCATGAGAACAGTTTCCCACCAAGCAGGGAAAATCAATAAGTTGATATAAGTTATTAAACCAAAAAAAAAAGTGAAAATTCAGGAGTTGAAAAGTACAGTAACTGAAATTAACTGTCTACCTTAAAAGCAGATTTGAGCCAACAGAACACAGATTAAAAAAACTTGATAGATCAATTGAGATTATGTAGCAGTCAGGAAGGGAAAGAAAAAAATGATCAGCGATTTGGGAGACACCCTCAAGCATGCTGACATAAGCATAATGAGACCCAGAAGAAGAATGCATAGAAAGTTTATTTTAAGAAATAGTGACCCCAAACTCCCCATATTTGAAGGAAAACATTAAACATCCAAGAAGCTCAAGAGTGTAGAGGATGGGATTTCTTTTTTGGGTGCTAAAAAATGTTCTTAAACCAGATAGTAGTAATGACTGCATAGCTTTCAGAATGTGCTAAAAGAAAAAAAAAAGAGTGAATCATACACTTTAAAGTAGTGACTTTTATGATATGTGAATTGTATCTCAATAAAGCGTTTAAAAACAAAGAAAAAGAAGAATAATGTTCTTTATACAGAGATGGAAAGATCTGCAAATTTAAAGAAAACGAAATTTCACAGTGTGTGCAGTGTTCCACTTTTTGTAAGGAAGGAAGGAAAGAAAATTTGTAGTTGTTTTATCTTACATTAAAAAACACCATAAGGATTCACAGGAAACTAATGAATACAGCCATTCAGAGAGCTGGAAGTCAAATGACAGTTATGGTTTATAGAGACATGGATGGAAACAAGACTTCTCATTGTATATCTTTTCATATCAGTTTCTCATTTTGAACTATGTGTTGGTATTTTTAAAGATACTAATGGATTTAGTAGGGGGAAATTTCATAGGGAATCTAGTGGGGGAAATAGACTACAGATAAGTAAATAAATATTTTTAGAATTGTCCTTACCTATAGGCTGTTTCATTTCATAAATTGATATTTATTAACATGGACCAATATGTAGGAAGCAAAGGCCATTTGAATACCTAAAATTTATTGTTGGTAAGCAATTTGTAGACTGGTTTTTTTTTTATTGTTTAAAAATATCAATTACAAGTAAGATAAGTTTTAGATTTTCCTCTGCAAACAGTGCAATGAAGAATGAGTGAGTAGATCACAAATGATGGATTCCATGGTCTGATCACAAAAGCTGACCATAATATCACTGAACTGTAGTGTAACAGTACTGTGAGTATTGAATAGACTTAAGTGTTGCCTGAATTGACTAAAGTTTTTAGAGTTTAAGCATCTGGAACAGGACTTGGCAGACTATCTGTAAAGGGCCGGATAGTGAGCATCTTTGGCTTCGTGGGCCCTACTGTCTCTGTTGCAGTGGTTCAATCCTGCCTTTGTAGTAGAAAAAGCGGCCATGGACAATATGTAAACAGCTGAGAGTAGCTATGTTCCAATACAATTTTTTATAAAACAAGCTCTGGGTTTGGTCCCTGCACTGCAGTTTTCCAACTCCTGATCTAGAATATAAATTTGAGAGAAATAAATTATAGCTCTAACATCAAGAATAAATCCTTCTCACTTTGTTCTGTTAGCAAGAGTGTCACAAGAACAGGTAGTCCCTGAATCTGTGGTTGCGGTGGCAGCATGGATGCTTTTTAGGGTGTTTATCTTAGGTCTCAGCACTGAAACAAAAATCTCTGAAATATTAGTCCTTGAAGGAGAGACATGCAGCTGAAGCCTGTAGCTGAAGGAGTAAACTGTTTGAGTCCCTAGTGCCCTGTATTCCCGTCTTCACTACTTGCCCTGTCACCATAGCATGCAGTAGGGAAGAAGGCTAAAATGGAATTCGATCTAAACTGATGACTCTTACTGGTTTGATGACCTTTCCTGGGCCTCAGTTTCTCTAATTGAGCTTAGTGTCCCCATATATAATATAAAGAGATTGGACTAGAGATTTTTTTTTTTTTTTTAAATTTCAGTCCTCACTCTTTCAGGCTGGAGTACTGTGGCAAGATTATGGTTTACTGCAACCTTGATCTCCTGTGCTCAAGCAGTCATCCCATCTCAACCACTCAGAGTGCTGGGATTCTAGGCGAGAGCCACTTCACTTTGCCTTACTTACCTACTTATTTATATTTTTAATTTGAGAGAGGTGATATTTATGGCCTCTTTTGGCTCTAAAGATGTTATTTAGGGGACTCTGGTGGCAGCACACTTGTACTGCATGTGATTTGTTCTTAAATTAGGAACTTTAGATGTAGTGTTTCTGAAAAAAATTTTGCTTAGAAAAATGTAGGCATAGTAAGTAATTGTTGCACATGTTTATCTTTTAGGGGCAGGAGATGGATCTTGTTCTCAATGCTGCAGATTATCATTTTTTTACACCATATATATATCCAGCCACATGGCCAGAAGATGACATCTTCCGACAAACTATTAGTCTTCTGATTGTAACAAATGTTGGTGCTTATATCCTTTATTTCATCTGTGCAACTCTGAGCTATTATTTTGTCTTTGATCATTCATTAATGAAACATCCACAGTTTTTAAAGGTAAGAAAAATTTTAACCTATTTTCTAACTACCGTTACAGTAAAAATAACATATTTGTGAGATTTTCAGATTAAACTGATTAAATAAAGTAACCATTAAATAAAGTTTTTTAAACCAGCTGCAAATGGGTTAGATATTTTTTTATGAGGGCTGATCCCCTCTCCCTTTTCCTTAATTTAAATGAATCTATCTTTTTAAAAAATGATTATCTTGCTAGATACATAGAGGAGCAATTCTATGCTGATAGTGATAAATAAATGCACGTTTATGTAATCATTTTAATTTATGACTTTCACAAACTGAAGTTTTTTTTTTTTTACCATGTTTTGTCTTTTGGCTAGATAGGGATTCAAACTCAGTAGTTTTATAGTTGTTTGCAATCATTTTTCTATTTCAGTTATTTGTATTTGTCAGTGACTCCAAGGACTGAAAAACATCAACAAAACTAAAGAAGATAGGGGATGGAAACTAATTATGAAAGAAATGATTATTCCATAAATAAAAGTTTAGAATACAGATTATTCTAAAGAGGATAGGGGATGGAAACTAATTATGAAAGAAATGATTATTCCATAAATAAAAGTTTAGAATACAGAAGAAAGTATTTCAGAATTTAAAATACTTGTTGCATTTGTTCAGCACAAAAGAAATGTTTTTCTTTACACAGTTTGGAGGTGAACTCCTTTATAAAAGAGATTTAAAAAATTCAATCCAAAGCAATCTTATGCTAGTTTTGTTTAACATAGATTTTGTGATTTGTATTGGAAATTCCATTTTCAGAATCAAGTCTATCGGGAGATTATGTTTACTGTCCAGTCACTGCCCTGGATCAGTATTCCTACTGTTTTATTGTTCCTGCTAGAGTTGAGAGGCTACAGCAAATTATATGACAACATAGGAGAGTTTCCATATGGTGAGTAAATAATACAAGTGTCAGGAAGAGAGTAGTCTAAGCACAGACTGGCTTTTTTAAAGAACCATACCTGCCTCTCTCTCTCTCTCTCTCTTCCTCTCTCTCTCTCTCTCTCTCTCTTAAAAATTATTCACTTGTTTTCAGTGTTGTTTCATGTGTTTCTGTCTTATCACATATGTGCATTTCTTTAGTTTTGGCTATCAATTTTAAAGTCTATTGTAGATTAGACAGTGCTTGGGGGAAGACTGGCATGATCAGTGATGGGTCTTTGTATTTTTCTTCTATTATTATTGAATTCAAACTTCTATAAAAACCTTAGTAGTATATGATAATTGCTGAAAATCAGAAAATACAGATTTTTTAAGAATGCATTATCCTGCTACTTAGAAACTAAATCTTTGGGCATATATTTTCCTACTTTTCTTTGCCTGTATTATTTTATTTACATTACACAAATGAAGTCCTATTATGCATACTATACATACTGATATTTTTCTTTCTCTTAGCAATTGACATGGTCATATTTTCATGTCAATAAATATTGACATTATATAATATGTTAGTCATAGTGTTTTATTGTGTGGATATCCATAATTTATGTAAATGATCCCTAATTATTAGACCTTTGCATTGTTCCTTTTTTTCCTATTATAAATAATCCTGCAGTGATGAAACTTTTAAAGTTTAGTGAAATTTTGAACTTTCCTCATCAAGATACAGTTCCAGTGTCTAGTATATAGAAAGTAACAATAATAGTATTTGTAGAATGTTAATATGTGCCCAGTGGCAATTCTAAGCTCTTCACAAGTATCAATCCATTTTTTTCAACAACAATTCTGTGAGGTTGGTGCTATTACTTTGTTCCTTGTATAGGTGAATCAGTGAGGTGTACTGTTTCAGTAAAAAAAAAGTGGTGGGTCTGAGACTTGAACCCAGGTTTGCTGGCTACAGCTCCCCTGCTCTATAAGAAATAAGTTAGTTATTTAGAGGAGGGAACAAGACATTATATACTAGGGTGATGAATTGGCTGGGCCTTGAAAATTGGACAGGATTATGAGTACAAGTAAAGGGGGGTATTCTAGATACTTGAAACAGTATGAGGGAAGTTACAAAGGTAGGACTTTCAAACACTGGGAGGACATTGAGTAAAGCTGCCTTGTTAGAGCAGAAGCACAGAAATGTTGAGGTTGAAAGGATCAGAATTGACTGGGGTTATGAAGTAAATACTAAGTTTAAGGTATTTAGTGGAGTTTTAATCAAGGAGATATTACGTTCTAGGCAGATTAATATGAAGAAAAATGATTCGTCTCAGATTTAAATAATAAAGATGTGTTAGGAATATCCTTTTCTGTCTCAGAAATATCTTTATAGTTTAATTAAGGAATATTTTAGGTGTGATATTTCAAGTACTTAGGAGAGAAAAATGAAATGATCAGATTCCAGGGAGCCATGGGAGATTAGTTTATAAGGTATTGAATTAGCTGAAACAGATAGTGTTTGAGTCTAGGATTCCATTTTGCACTTAGACATATAAAAAGTGAACTCTATGCCTGGGAGCTGAATTTTGATTCCTTGTTTCCTGTTGTCTCTTCTAGGCTGGTTTCAATTCCTTGTTAGTGTTACATCTTTCCTCTTTTTCACTGACATGCTGATCTACTGGATTCATAGAGGTCTTCATCATAAACTTGTATATAAGGTAGAGTCATTATAAATTATTTTCTCTACTTCCAAATATTTTTTCTAACTATATCAGGTGTGCCAAAAAAACTGTACACACATTTTAAGAGGTGCTCGCCATAATCTGAAGTGTCTGGACACTGATGGTAACCACTCTGAACACCTCTTGTAATTGCAGAAGTCAAGCGTATCTTGTAGTCATCTTTCATTATCAGTATATATTGAGGATTGCAATTTTAATACGGTTTCTCCTTTTCTTAAAATGTATACTTTTTTTGGCATCCTCTGTATGAAATGCCTAGGTAGCCATAGTCATGACAGGTTCAAGATACATTTTGTTCATATTCTTTATGAGTCTTATGGGACTGTTACAAAATTTTACTGTTTTGGGGTAAAGAAAAAGGGCAATTGGGAAAGTGATTTTGCTAATTTCAAAATGATGTTTTAGTAAAGTCATTTCCACAACATGAATATAAAAAACTAAGTTGAATGTTGCGCTGGGTAAATGTCATGGTGCTAATTGTGTCCTTTTCTTCTGTAGCGTATCCATAAACCTCATCATCTTTGGAAGGTTCCTACTCCATTTGCAAGTCATGCTTTTCACCCTGTGGATGGCTTCCTTCAGAGTCTACCTTACCATATATACCCTTTTGTCTTTCCATTACACAAGGTGATTTATTTAGGTTTGTACATCGTGGTTAATATCTGGACAATTTCTATTCACGATGGTGATTTTCGTGTCCCCCAAATCTTAAGGCCATTTATTAATGGCTCAGCTCATCATACAGACCACCATATGTTCTTTGACTATAATTATGGACAGTATTTCACACTGTGGGATAGGATTGGAGGGTCATTCAAAAATCCTTCCTCATTTGAGGGAAAGGGACCAATTGATTATGTGAAGAAAATGACAGAAGAAAAGTGCAACAGCCATGCAGATAATGGTTATAAAAATGAAAAATTACTCAACGGATTGCTTACAAAGACTGAGTAGATTATTACTCTATTGTTTTTAAATATTTTTAATGAGGAAAAATAATCTACACAGCCAAGATACATAACAAGAAATGGTATCATTTGAAAATCAAGATTGTGAAATGAACATAATGGTAAATTAAGAGAAGATGCTATAAACACCAAGATACTAATCTTATGCTTAACATGTTGGTATAAGGGACGTATGTCTGTTAGTAAGCAGATCTGTAGTTGCAAAACCTCAGCAGCAATTTAAAATAAGATATAGAATAAATTATTAAGGGGATTAGCCTATGTTCTTTTGCCTTAATCTACCAGTCTACCCATACTCATTAAGAAAATTCATTGTGCTTGATAATACCAAGACTAAACACCATAGTTAAGAAATATTAACAAGCCGGGCTTGGTGGCTCAGCCTGTAATCCCGTGCCTTTGGGAGGCTGAGGTGAGTGGATTGCCTGAGCCC